GTTTGTTCTCGCCCTGGTACTTTGCTTTAAAATGGTACACTGCAAGAGAAAAACAAGAAGGTTTATTTGATCGAACATCCAACGTGCGAGAAGTGAAATCCGCATTAGCCGCAGAATTAGAGCAAAATTGATTAAACACTTGTGGAAATGGCATCTTTTACTGATCAACTCTGAGAAGTCCAATTGTAAACTCGAATTGTTGATTATTGTCGCTTTGCATTGCATTGTGTTCCTTCTTGTATCCCTCCTCTTAATTCTAGATCTAAATCGCAATTTGTTTTTAAATAATAGTGCTTACGTTTGTCGGAGACAATTGGAAATATCTCTTAAACAAGATAAATCTTAGGAAGACTAAATTTCATCAAAAACATCGTTTACGCAATCGATATTTCTTCTCTGACTCTCAGTTGAAAGGTTATAAGTTGTGTTGTTTTGATGTACCGCAAATTTTCCCTCGCGCTTATAGACTGCTGTGTAGATATGACTTGTTATTTAAACAATTTACTGAAGGTGATATTTGAACTTCTTAATTAAAGCGCAAATGTCCTTAGTTGACTTTATTTTGAAGTTTTTCTGGCTGTGTTTTTTTGCCACTTGACAAATGTTTATTTGGAAAATATGTTTCTCGCGATTAGAAATTTGAATCACATATTTTCGCTTTCCGGCGGAAAAATTTGGCGAAACTAAAAAAAAAAATATGTTAATGGTGATGGAAAATCAAATATGTTGATACCTTTTTTTACTCACTTAAAGATCAAACGGTGGACGCGTCTTCGATTTAGAGACAATTCAACAAATAAACCACTCTTTCACGATTCAAGAAACACCAGTTAACATTTTATCAGCATTAGTACAAGCTCATTTAACTGTTTACTCACACTTACCTTATGTTGTACGGAGTTCCGACTTCGAATGTTTTCGGTAAACACTAAATTGAACGGTACTGTGTTGCCGTCGTGCTTAAACATATAACGCTCTGCGAGACGCCAATCTTGAAGCTGTATAATCAACTTGTTTGTTCAATAGTGTTTTCGACTTTTAATCTCACGAAATAAAAATGTTAAATAAGATCGATCAACGGGTTTGTTTAACACAGTCTGGAACCAAAAGGCTTGCAAATTACATGACACGTACGTACTTTCTGTACTTTTTTCCCAAATATCTTTTTCCCTCCGTACTTAATACACTTAGTAAATTTAAAATTTCTGGATTACCCCATGGGTAGGAAATTGAATTGGTGTTTATGAGGAAATGTTTTGACTTTAACGAAAGGTTTTGTTACATTTTTATGACAACTTTTGACCATGTTATTTTAAATACGAATCGTTTTTTAAAAGCAGCTTTTTCATCTTTTGCCTGTAAGATTATAACTTTATTTCATTTTTCGCGAGCATGCAGAACAAAGACCTCTAATCAAGGGGCGAGAAGAGCTGAAAAAAACTAATTATTTTTACAACTTTAATCACCTGCTCGTCGGCAAAATCCTTTTCTATTGTATTTATTTGTATTATTGTATGTTTTTACATCTTTTACGTCTTCTATGTTGAAGTAATTGGATTTGTTTTCAGTCCAGAAGAGAAACTGTTTGAAACTGTTGTTAAAAATTCTATGCGCAACTGAACAATTGGAAACCTGTTGGTAAGTTACAATCCCTTGCATTATTTTCTTAGCAAATTCATTAAAGTGAAATTTTGCAAAAGGAATGTAAACGATTGAACGAACAACTGAACGAAAGAACGAACGAGCGAACGAACTAATGAGTGAATGGATGCAGAATGTATTTTTAAAGCGGCGGGTTATCGAATGACTGTTGTGAAAAGTAATCTTATTTGACCAATCACGACAAACGTAAATAATACATTAAACCAATCAAAACGCGAGGCAGAACTTGCAACCGATACTAAGCGCGGGAAAAAGCTCGCAGGCCAAGTCACGAGTGGTTTTGGTTTCGTTCTTGATTGGTTGAGAAAACAATAAGTATTTTCTTCCCTTCTCCTCTGTCGAGCGAAGATTTTTTTAATCAGCAACACAGCACAACAAACCCCTGCAAACAAATAATTTCATTTTATTATTTTATGAGGTGGAATGTCCTTAGTTTTCGTTTCTTTGGAGTGTGAAGGCTCGATTTATAGACCAAACTGGTGGGTTTGATTTGTTCGGAGAGGAAATATCTGTACGTATATTTAAATACTCCGTCTGGTGTTGTAAAGCTGTAACAGCATTTTGGAGTGTTTGTAACGCATTTAAATTGTCTGTGGAAACTCACTTGAAGTGATTTTCGAGTTTTTGTTGGAGCAGACTAAAACCTAGCGCGCTCTCAGTTTAGTCCAAGAGTCTGTCTTGTAAGGTCACCTCTCAGGTTTTATCTTGTATTTGATCATCATTTTTGCGGTCGTAGTGATACCAACAGTGTAAAATTATCTTTTCCAAGGACGTTTTGCTGCTTTTGCTACGCTCGCAAAGTTATTTTTGGTTATCATCTATTGATATTATGAAGCGCTCTCATCGTCTGAGTTAGACAGCGAAGGCGGGGGCCCTGGTGACCCGTAGTCATAAGAATTCAGTTCAGCAAGATAAACCTGAAGTTCAAAAGGAGATACCATTCCCTTGTGCGAATGTTGTCTTCTTTTAGGACTAGTACTTCGATTTCCTTCATTTCTGCTGTAGAGTTTTGTCGGAGTTTGCCGAATAAGTTGTGGAAGACAACCGTGGCATTTTCTTTGCCAATCGTCCCCTGATACTGCACTTTTGGCGCGTTCGTGTGTCATTTTCGTCACCGAATCTGAACCATAGTGACTCTTGCATGAGGAACAAAGATTGTACTTCTGGTCGAACACGCCATTCTGCGCATGCTCGCGTCCTGCCCACGTGACTCGCGCGGGGCCGTGCATTTTCCTCCCTGTCACAACAACGCTGTCGCTGACCGAGGAAATGGGGCGAGCGCGGGCTCTGAAAGCCCTTGAGTCCGCAAACTCGGGTAACGATCTTGCTTCGAGTCTACTTGGCTTGTCTGGACTGTGACTCCGTGACGTTGTCATAGCAACTTTAGTCACGGGTGCTAGGAGCACTGGACCTTTGACGCTTAAAGCTATTTCGCCCTTTGTTGGTCGAGCATAAGCGGCTATTGGTCGAGGGGACGGGATCTGCTTTCGGGATGCCTCGAAAGGATCCCGTAGTCTGCGAGTCAGGTATTTAATAAGATGTTGGACGTTTTCAAGCTGGTTTTCCGATGTTTCAGGATATAAATAATTGTCCGTTTGATTCTTTTCATTGACTTGGATCGCTATTATGTCTTCACGTAACATGGATTCTTCGTATGTTTCATCTTTTTCGTCCACAGTTTCCAGACTGGAATAAGACTCTTCATCGTTGTTGTCACCAAGTATTGCAGAATCAATCATTTTTCCATTTTCCTCGCTGTTTTTTATAAGGGAGGTGTGGACTTTTTCACTTTCGTTTCTCCTTCTGGGGGAAGTTCTTCCCGCTGAATTAAACCCGGCACTTCTTTCTTGAATTTTTCGTATTTGAACTTTGGTGACAAATGGTGTCAAGTCTGTGCCGTTCTTTTTATTCAGTTCCCTCTCCAAGTTATTCTTCCCGTATTTAAAGCGTATTTGTCGGGCTCTATCGTCCACTTGTTTGGTTTTAACTGACATTTTGTTGCATTGCAGAAGTGAATTTCTACTGGCCCCTTTTTGGCGTGGTGCAGGGGCGCGATAGTGCCTCATCTGACTAGAACGACCCTTATTTTGTTCCCAGCCTGTTTGGAGCCAGGACGCGTCGTTTCGAGAGGTCGCAGCCATGGAGAGCTGGCGGTTGAAAAGATCTGTAAGAGGTAGGGAGAAAAAAAAATCTTTAGAACGCAGCTTTATTTATTTTAGGATCAACTTAGTTTCTTTTTTTTAATCATAAAAGTAAAAATGGACTATGATTAGATCTAGAATGTAAGAAATTCTCGTTGATTAAATTGAGCCCCTGCTTAAAAGAAACGTTTTGTGCTGAGATTGCGTTTATTTATAAAAGAATCAACTTATCTACTCGGTCTTATGGCCAAGGGACACAGAAGGCTCTGAATATATCTATTTTTAGTTAGCTTTTACAATGGAACTGCTAATAGCGGTTTTTATTCATTAAAAGCACGTTCCACACAAAACATGAAAGACAAGTTCGGATATCTTCGCCAGTTTTCTGTTGTACTTAGAAACGATGGTTAACTAGCACAAGCACTCACTCGAATAAAACCAGAATTTAGTTTTAATACTTTATACTTGTAAAAACAAGGAAACATGAAAACAGTTTATCGCTGCAGAACAGTACGGACCACTCTTTCTCATGGCTAAATTACTTTTCGATACTTTCTCAGTCAGGCTTGAGTTCCTATGTGAATTTACAGTTAAAAACTCCTATATTTAGCTAAGCAGGTAGAAATGTATCTGGTTCTTAATTAATGAACCGACAACCGGGTTACAGATAAGCTTTAAAATCACAATATATATTAGTTCAGTGTCATTAAACTAGGTTACTGTGAAGACATCTTTCTCAGTCCATTTTTCAAATATATGATCTTTCTGTTCGCCATTTCCACATCCCCCATAATAAACCTTGTTTGTCCCCCAAAATGTCGCATAAGCATTGTCTTCAGTTTCTCTTGGGACGACTGTAATACTCGGGAGAAATGGTAAAAAAAGATTATGCAGAATTTTGGAGGGCAAACAAGGTGTATTATGGCAATTGTGGAAATGGCGAATTATTCTCTTACAAAGTAGCTTGCTGTTGCTTTTCGTATATATTTACTTTAGTCAAGTTATGTTATTCAAACGATCGGTATAAAGAGAGCCAATATATAAATTGTCACGACAGCTGTCTATTTTTTTTTGTTTCGAATTGGTACTTCAATAATCTGCCGTTAAAGGTTTATTGTTAGAGATAGCCTATTAAACGAACAGTGTTTCTCAATGACCCTCATAGCAGGTGGAATTTTAATTTCTGTATACCTTCACAATTATAGAAATAAAGCCGCTTGGATATTTTCTTTTTCCGACTTACAGACTTCAATTTACTTAGCTTTTATGCCCATAAGACCTCAAATCCATGAATTGTCAT